CGCGGGCGCCCTCTACCATTGCCTCTTACGCTGCTAAATGGGCAGCTTTCCAGAACTGGTGCGCAGAACGGAATGTTCAAGCGCTCTCCTGCCAGCTGGCGGATGTCCTATCATTTCTGCAGATACTGATGGACAGGGGCCTCGCATTCAGCACTGTTAAGACATATGCTGCAGCTATCTCATCATGTCATCAGGGTTTTGGAGATAGATCTGTTTTCAATCATCCCCTCACAAAACATTTTCTAAAAGGTGTCAGAAGGAACAGACCTGTGTCCCGCCCGCTTTTTCCCCAATGGGATCTAACGGTGGTTCTGCACGGCTTATCTGAAGCTCCATTTGAACCCTTGGACCAGGTCTCACTCAAGTTCCTGTCGCTTAAAACTGCATTGCTGCTGGCGTTAGCATCAGTTAAGAGAGTGAGTGACCTAACCGCCCTCTCAGTGACTCCCGCATGCCTCAGGATCCGGGAGGATGGCGGGTCTGCTGTTTTATGCCCCAACCCAGCCTTTGTGCCCAAAAGCATTAATGCTTCCTTCAAATCCAGGTCAATTTCATTGGCTGGACTTTTTCCTCCTCCCCATAATTCTGAGGAGGAGGCGGCATCTCACCTTCTCTGCCCGGTGCGCGCGCTTGCACGATATGTGTCACGCACTTCAGGGATTCGTCGCTCACAAAACCTGTTTGTGCACTACAGGGAGTCTTCCCTTGGTCAGGCGCTGTCGGCCCAGCGCCTTTCACGCTGGCTGTGTGATGCCATTTCCCTCGCTTACACATCATCAGGGCGGGATCCCCGAGGCACTCAGGGCTCACTCGGCCAGAGGGATTTCCTCTTCGATGGCGCTCCTCAGTGGTGTGTCAATGGAAGACATTTGTCAGGCTGCTTCATGGGCTTCACCCTGTTCCTTTACTCGTTATTATTTACGAGATGTGTCTTCAGGTTCCATCACTCGTTCAGTGCTTGGACCCCAGCAGGCTAAATGAATGCTTATGGCACCTCATTGGCCTTGCTGAGATGGATTTTATCCTCTTGTGGATGATGTTTTTTAGTGGGGGCCCCTCTCTTATCGTGCCTGCCTCAGTCTTTAGGCCTGGTCTGAGGCTGAACGTCCCCCACTAGAGGAGATTTGATTGGGTGTGTCCATTGGTTGTGTTAACCAGTGGGGCGTAAACCCATCCAGCTGCGCTTTATTCCAATAGCAGCTAGCTTAAGGGCTAAGACTAGACGAAATAGAACGTTGGTTACGTATTGTAACCCCAGATTCTATGAGTCTAGTCGCAGCCCTTAAGCCACTGGCCCCACTGGTTATGATGGGAATAAGAGCCATTGGAGGTGAGCAGTGGGGTCACTGCGGTTATATACCACGAGGGGGCCCACTATTGGTGGGCGTACATTTAAGCTCTTCATGATTGGCTGATGCGGAGATCATCCTTCCAATAGCAGCTAGCTTAAGGGCTGCGACTAGACTCATAGAATCTGGGGTTACAATACGTAACCAACGTTCTTCACTTTATCAAACTCAGACTTTGTATAGCAAATGTCAAGATGTAAAATTGTGAATTCAGTTAAATTTAAAACTACTGATGCATTTTTCCAAAGGGGTATTCATCCTGACTTCAAGCATTTCAGGCAAAATAATCAAAAGAAAAATAATCAACTTTTTTACAATGTTCCTTGTCCATTTTCACTTCATCAGCAACACATATTCTAATATTCACACATCTGAACAAATCCCACAAGAATTCCCTTTATAATGAGACCAAAAGTAATGAAAAAGACCTTGTGGTTACAGGAATATAGCCATTAAATAGTGGGCATGTTATTTGTTTTTATTTTTATTTTAACAATGCCATCAAATGGTTTGTTACATTTACTTACACAAGAAACATTACCTCAATTCATTTAAAAGAACCAAATGTGCTCTTTCTGCTTTCCTTGCAGGAGACAAACTGTTCAGCAATCTTTTTTCTGTTTAGCTTGTCCAGCTTGTCTTTTTGGACATGGCACACACCTAGGGATGGGTACCGAATTCGGTACTTTTTAAGGTACCGACCGAATTCCATAGTACCGACCGAGCACTGATTCACGTCATTTCAAACGGTGCCTCGTTTCGGTACCCGTCCATCCTAACGAGAACTTGCCAAGACGGCTGCGCATGCGCAGGAACGTTTTGTCGTCGCTTGCTGTGAACCAGTTGTAAACAGAGCAGCATGGTAGAGAGAACGCACGCTAAAGCTTGGGTCCACTTCACTAAATGTGATGGGTAACTGGATGATGAAACCAGCGACAACTATCTGAGACATCCTCATCTTAATCTGCTCCGGTAGGTAAATATAATTAGCTTGATATGTTAGCTTCCGTTTCGCTAATGGTGCGTTCGCTTTCTCCTCGGAACTCCGAATTTCCGACTAGAACAACATGAACGCGCTCTAAAGTTTGGCTTCACTTTACTAAATGTGACGGGTGAAGACGAAACCAGTGACGATCTAAGTGTGAGGCATCGTTTTAATCTGCTCCAGCAGCTAAATAAACTGTTTAAGATATCGTTAGCTTGATATGTTAGCTTCCATTGCCACCATTGTTATCAGCTAATGGTGCGTTCGCTTTTCTCCTCGGAAATTCTAACTTCCCAGTAGGAAAAATCAAATGAAAAAAGATGGTAAAAGGAATGAAGATACACAGTAAATTTAGTTCACAGTAAAGATGTTTGCTTCAGTTTAATTATCAGCTTATAAAACTACAAGGGCAATGTTAAAATACAAACAGTTGAATGTTATTTATCGTGATTTTTATCAAATATTGTTGTATATTGAGAAAAATATATATTTAATTATAAAAGAGAATTAAAATAATAAACACTCAAAAGTATCGAAAATTGGTACCGTTAAGTACCGGAATCGATTCGTAGGTACCGGTAATTAGTACCGGATCGATTCAAATGTCAAAGGTACCCATCCCTACACACACCAACACTGTTTAGGCGAATTTGGGTCATGGTGCTGCGTAGCCATGTTTTCAGCCTTCTGAGGCTGCTGAAACTCCTTTCTGGCTCTGCTGAGGATACAGGCACAACTAGAAGGAGTCAGGCAACTGTTTCAATCTGGTCAAAGAGACCACGGACCTCTGGAGTCCTTCCCTGAAGAACAGCAACAACATCTGTACTAGTCTGGAAGCTGTACTTTGTTATAAACAGTGCAAGCTGAACTTTGAGGATGTCAGGGCTTATTTCTGGGTACTGATGGATGACCGTGTGTTTCTGTCCAGTCAAGAGAACTTGTTCCAGATGCCTTAACATTTGCATTCATTCCTGCTCAGATCTCTCACTAAACTGCATGTCAGCAACATCCAAAGCTTTAAAGAACTCAGTCCTGTAGTATTCAGAAGAGGACTCATGCACATGTGCAGGAGCACTTCCTGTGAGGCGCTGAGGTGGGATACGGGCACGAGGGGAGGCAATAGGAGTGAGATGGAGTGTCTCACACAGCTTTGTTGCCTTTGAGTAAAGAGCCTGAAAACTCTGTGTTCTTCTTTTTGCCCAAACTCTCCTTAACATGGACAATAGCTAAAAGCACACCATCTAGGGTCTGTGTTCTGCTCTGGAGAGACATATTTAATATCTCCAACTCGCCTGTTATCTCCAAAGCACACAGAAGACCAAGGACATTTCCCTGCTGAAAAGTATCACACAGCCCCCGTGCCTTGCTGGCTGCATCAGAATCACTCACTGCCATCTCAGCCAAAGCCTTTATTATGCACTCGTACTGGTTTAGCACAGCATGGATGGCGCCATTACGGACTGTCCATCTTGTTGGACACAGAGGTCTTATTCTCTGACATGGACTTTCACACTCCACAGATCTTGAAATCCCCTTAAAGATATCCTTCAGTTTCCCTGACTGTCCAAACAACACTCCCAGCTCATTGACCCAATCCGGAGCATTCCTAATGAATACGGAGGCAGTGCCGGCTCTTTGTGTGATGAGGTTAACACAGTGGGCGGCACAATGAACATATGGAGCAAGAGGTTGAATTTTTCTTACAATGGCTTGTGCTCCATTGTATTTGCCAGCCATATTTGCAGCACCATCATATGCTTGTCCACGCAACCCTCTGACAGGCAAATTTAGACGCTGCAAGACATCCAACACCACTTTTGCCAGGTTTTCACCGGTTGTCAAAGAAACCTCATGAAGACCAATAAAGTGTTCATGAGGGACTAAATCATTGTCCACATATCTTAAACAGACTGCTTCTTGTTCTTTCCCAGACACATCTCGTGTGCCATCCAGCATCACAGAGAACTGCAGGTGTGGAAGTGAGCTGATGTTTTCAACTATTTCTCGTATGACTGTGTTGCTGAACAAAGTCAAGATTTCATTCTGAACAATACCTGAAGTATGCAAGTCCTTTCTTCCACTTGTCAACCACTTGTTTAAAGAGAGGTCATCCTCTGACTTGTACTTCAGAAGCTGTTCAAAATTTCCCTCACCACCTTCATGACCCCATGAGAGGGCCAACGTCTGTACAGCACCAATGATTTTGAGAAGACATTCCCTCGCTTCCTCTTGCTGTTTTGAACTCGCATTAGAGAGCTGAACCTGTACAGACTGATTTTCACAGATGTGCATTGTCATGGCAGTCTTATGACTAGCACATCTTTCATGCACAGTAAATCGTTCCTGGGCTTTTTTCCAATTTTTAAACCCTGATGACAAGAATGCTGAATCTGCATTCTTGGCTTGGGGTGATGTCTGAGAATTAAAGGCTTTTAAACAATAAAAGCACAACACACCCTCAACACCAGGGCTCACGTGGAGCCATGGGAATTTTTGGTACCACTGACTTTGAAAGCTTAAAGTATATTTGGGCAAGATCTGTTTAACAAAATACTTTGGATCTGGTTGGTTGGGACTAATGAACTGATAGCAAGGAACAGTTATTTCTGAAATATCTGCTTCTCGCTTATCTTTACAATCTTCATCATCTTTATTGTCCCTCTCACTCTTTTCTTCTTTTGTTCCCTCCTCATGTCTGCCTTTCCCTTTCTCCGCCTCTCTGTCGTCCTCACTCCTGGCCACATCTTCAGATACTGCCTAACATTTAAAATTAAAATAGTCATTATAAACATGTACACATGCATCTGGGATGGAAATAATCAGCACAAATTTCTCTCTCACACACACACACACACACACACACACACACACACACACACACACACACACACACACACACACACACACACAGAAAGAGACTGCCTTAACTGAATTCTTTCACAAACTGAGACTAACTTGCAGCAGCTTAAACCTATATTGATTTCACTGCTTACCTGTGAACCTTCATGAACCCTCTCTGAACCTTCTTGTGCTCCCCCTGAAACTGATGCCTCCTGCTAAACCAGAAAGGTTCAATGGTGAAGAGTGGACTCAAACTAATTAAATCATTTTGGCTCAGTTTAAACAAAATTAACCTAAAATAATAGTTTTATTTATCTATTTAAATATGATTTTAGATAGATTTTACAGTAATTTAACTTACATTATTTTTCTTGAAAAAGTTGTTAATCCTCTCCTGCTTTTTCCTTTTCTGCATCTTTGTTATACTGAGTGAGAAATAGGTAAATAAAAGATTGATTTTGACATGGATCTTCCTAATATGACTGAGGAAATGTTTTTTGGGTAATATCTGCTAAAAAATTAAGATAAAATATGTGTAAGCCTTTTCTGTGTTGGTACATACCCGGTGTATTTTCACCACAACAAGCCGAATGTTGGACAATGACCAAACAGGCGGGATTTATGGTGGGAAGCAAATCGATTGGTTGAAGGCTGGTTGTGTCAGAGCAACAGGAGAGGGAGGGAGGGAAGAGCCCCTGGAAGCCCTTGGGCTCTTCCCTCCCTCCCTCTCCTGTTGCTGCTTGAAACCGAAACCTGAGGCAAACAGACTGCGACGTAGAGACCAGACTGGTGTGGAGGTGAGCAAAACAGCTGGAAAAGTGAGGGTGTTAGTTGAACGATCTCAATAAGAAAAGTGTGGGTGTTGAATCCCCCACATCCCCCACGGGTGCAACGCCCATGCTAAGAGTCTACGTAGGGGGCGGGTGTATTACGTGAACGGACCCATCTGATTGGCCGCATATCAGACGGGCTACATTTGATTGGTCAAATAATACTTCCGTGTAAAAAACAGAGCTGGTTTACAAAAAGTTGATGTATGACACGGATGGAAATGTTTGAACCAAACATTTATCACTGTTTTTGACGTGCTTTGCAATGGGCCTATCGCACGTCCTGTTATCTCGGTGACGATAATTTTTCGATATATTGTGCAGCCCTATTCAGCAAAAACTTCTACAGGCTGAGATTATAATCTCTCTGACTGTTCTGAGCTCTCAGCTCCTCCGTGTCCCATGCTCACACTCCACCTCCACCTGCACAGCAGAGCCTCAACAATACCCAAAGACGGACCAGATGGACGGAGCCACCCAGCTCAGATCTCCTAGCCCCAGGGTGTCTGTGACACTGGGACCATGATGGGGATTCCACCCAGAGCAGCTTCTCCACTCCTGAACAGACCCAGGTGTGTTAGAGAGCTTCTGAGCAGCTTCCATCTGAATGAAAGTACAAGCTCTATGAACTGTTCCAGGCTAAATTAACCCAAGAAATCTGCTGCCAGACTGGTTGTGGCAGCTACAACTGGTCCAGACTGACATGAAGCCTTGCAGGTGTAGTAAAGCTTACAGCTACATGCGATTACATTATGGCATCATGAAGGAGGCTACTGATGCTGGCCCTGTGACACTTGGTGGTGACGTGCCAGTGGATTCACCTGGTCAATAACTTTTAAATGAATTTTTTTTTCTTTGGTAGCAACTGATTATCACTTGTAAGTCGCTTTGGATAAAAGCGTCAACTAAAAACATAAACATAAACTTTAAGCCATAAACCGGCTCACCAGGGACAACATAACCTACATTTTAGCATTTCTTACCACCTTGGATCTCTCTGCTGTCCAAGCGCGACTCATCACACACAAATTAAATTAATCGACCCAAATCCGATCCAACCCGTCGGTACTCCGTTTGGGCTCGGATCGTACAAGGAGGGAAGGGTCGTCTGAAGGTCTCCTGTGTAGACCTCAAGACGAGATGCGTTAGTGCGGGTCACACGTAACGGACGTTTTAAAAATCCTCTTTAATGTTTCCCCCAGTGGATAATATTGAAACTAGTTAAACTGTAAAAGGCGGCCTCGCCGTACACTCCCCTCATCGGATCTGCATGAATCACGTTTTGTCCATTTTGGATTCAAAACGGCAAATTTCGCTGAAAGGTGAGAGATTTTCATGTCTGGGACTAGTGAATGTCAACGCAGCAGTGGTGATGTTTGCCCGTCCTCTCCTGTTATTACTGCCGGCAACTAATCAACCAACACCGCCCATCAAGGTAACGTCATCTGCCTTACATACACACTTCCACACTAGCAGACTCCAGCGACTAAAGTCTGACCTGCGGTGAGATTTTGCCCATTTTGCAAAAAAAGATGACTCTGCCTTTAGGGCTGCAACAAACGATTATTTGGATAATCGATTAATCGGATGGGGTCTCGACACGATTAATCGATTAATCGGATTACATGGGGAAATTTTTAAAAACTGCTAGGGAAACGTTATTTCTCTCCTTCCTTCACTTTATTTAACACAACATTATTAGAAAACAGTTCAATAGCAGAAAAACAACATGCCATCACCTAAATTGTCTTATAAGGTGTATAGACAGAGACCCTAAGCTACATCTATCTGTGACCTAAAATGCTTGGTCCAAGTTAAACAGCTTAAGGGCAATTCTCATCTGTTTTGTTTGATCTCATCTGTTGACATATATTTTAAATGTAATTAAACATAGGCTGTGAATTAATCAAAATTGATCACTATTTCCAAAAATGACTGAAAAAATACCAAATAAAACAAAAGTAAATGAATGCCATCCTCCTTGCGATGATGCCCTGGGCAACTGCCATAAAGTCACATCAAGAAATGCTGCTGATCATTCCAATGATCCCAAATAGACTCACATTAGGCCACATGAAAGCAACTGAACCCAAAAATATATTAACCAGTATATAACTGCACTCTCACACAACACGCCTGCAGCAACAGTTAGGACTCCTCCCTCCCTTTTAAAAGCGTTTTTGCTTCTGAGGACATTGTGGTTGTAAAACCACACGCTAGTGGTCTGGCCCCGGTGTGATCAACCAGTTTCTGCGGGAATGTGACGGCGGAACCAGGGCCAGATTAACACTTTGTTGTACCCTGGGCAACAATATTCAAGGGCTCCATCATCACGACCCGAGGATCACCATAATGTGGTCACATACAGAATATTTTACTGTAATATGCAGTAAATATACTCAATACTTGAATGCCTGACAACACGTAACCCGCCCAGAGTAACCTTTGACCCACCTCGTGTGGACTGACCAATGAGGAGAGGGTCTTAACTTGAGGCCCTCTCTTCATTGGTCATTCTGCATGAGACTGACTCTCAACTGACGTTCAGTCGTAGGCAGCGAAGCTTCTCTGTGCAGTGCAAAAGCCCGGGTGGACAGTTTGTAGAGCCCTGCACTGAAGCCCTAGGCCCTCGGGTCGGCCCGGCCCGACGGCCCTCGGGCCGGGCTTCGGGCCAACGACTGTGTAATTACCTCGGACACGGGCCGGCCGGGCGCCTTTATTTTTATTCGAAATCATTACAAAAATTAAAACACTTAAACGCAGCAGTAGAGCCCTGTGCGGGACTGTTTTCTTCATCCCGCTCCGCTCCCGCTGAATTTCTGACCATTACAGCCTGCAACCGCAATGTGTGTGTTACACTCCCGCCCGCACCTGCAGCGTGTCTACTCCCGCCCGCACCTGCAGCGTGCATGTCTACTCCCGCCCACACCTGCAGCGTGCATGTCTACTCCCGCCCGCAACCGCAAAACTCGGAGAAATTATTACCTCACAATAAAAGAGATGTATTGAGTTTGCGTCCTCAACATGTCATTTTATAGGTTATCCGCTTTCACCGCAGTGCTGCGCTCCGTTTCAATCAGGCTGTACAGCAGGATTTCCCCTCGTAGCGATATTTTCTCTAACTCTGATTGCTTCATGCTATAGACCGTTGGAAAGCTGCTTTTATGTACTTTTAGGAACCGTTGGAATTATTTGAATCTGATCAACCATTCAAAAGTTATAAAACGGAGCATTTTGGATGACAAACTCGCACGTCTCTGAATCTGTGTTGTGATTCGTTGCGCTCAAGACAGGAAATCCCGGTGGATACTGTAATGTATTGTATATGCACGGAAAGCCCCATTTTTAATCTTTTCAGCACTTTTGGAATTTTAATGATATCTTGAACTAGAGCAGGGATCGGCAACCCGCGGCTCTTCCATCCATCTGCCGATGTGCTTGTAAAATAATGAATGGGTATTTAAATAAAATGCTTTATATTTTACTGAATTAATTTTATAACTGTAAGTCAATTCTATGTGAAGACTGTCTGCGTAAACCTGAACAGTTCCAACCCAGTCTTACTGTGAGACCGTGTTGGGTCACGCTTGTGCGTAATCATATGCGCTCATGAGCTGAAGAGGATGTGAGATTCTGGGATTCTCCTCAGACGGCTCCTGGATGTGTCGCACATTGGAGACAGGAACAAGCGCTATTCAGCCAAAGTTTCATGATCAGGGAACATTTTCTAAGTGACAAGTCTCTCTGAGAGACAGGGTTTGGAAAACACTCGCTTCAGTGGGAAGCTTCCCGCATGCGCTTCTGCGACGCTCGGATCCTGCACATCTTTTAACACATTGGTCAGGATTGACGCACTTTGTTTTCATTTAGTTGGTTAAAAAAAGTCGGGCTTGGGCTCGGGCCGGGCCAGAGAATCCTGAAAACCTTTTCGGGCCGGGTCGGGCTGGGGCTCCACCCCCTCGGGCCGGGCCGGACATGGGCTCAGATTTTAGGCCCGTGCAGGGCTCTAACAGTTTGTTTAATGTAGGGTGATCATATTTCCATTTCCAAACAAGAGGACAGGGGATCTGTGCCTATGACGTCACACTATGGCAACGCCACACAAACCATGTTGGGACCCATTTTTTGTAAGAACTAAATTAATATCAGATTCTGCCAATTAAAGGGCTCTAAAACAATTCATATATAAATATTTAGCATATTTAATGCAAAATCAAATTTTTCTGCTTTAGTTCTGCAACAAGGTTTTATTAATAATAAATTATTATACCTTTTGTTTTACTACAGCATCGGTACGCTTCCTGTGCACAGATTATTAAGGATGCTTGTTTCAACTGTGAGATTAGACGATAGGATCAATGAAAAAATAAGTTGTCACACACTCC